CAGTTTAGTTTTGGTTTCAGGTACCTCTTCGTCTAAGGGGAAGGAGCCGGCGGTGTAGCAGCGCATCACACACACACATGGTTTCCGCATTGAGTTTCTGGGATTGTACTCTGATTTTCATTACTTCTGATGATATGGTTTTGAGACACGACATTATGGTTTTTATAAGTTGATGTAATATTGACAATGTTTTGGTGAACTGTTTTATGAATTACTTAATTAAAAATGAAAATTTTTGGCCTCGAAATTTGGGGATGTTACATATCACATACCATACATAGAATAAAGAATGATTTGTGTCGACCATAGTCTTACAATCACCATCATGCCATGATCCATATCATGGTATTTCCTTACCATGCTGGGGGACAAAACCCATGTCTTACAAATAAGTGCCAAGAGCGACTTCCTGGTCTTCCATGTAAGTATCACAAATACAACTAGCATCCTATATATAACTGTCAGAGTCTAGACCTCGGTCTTGCATACAGTTTTCGGGAGCCATATCCAGGTCTTTCATATAATTTCCATGGGCCACCCCCTGGTCTACCTACATAGCATGATGTAGTGGGTCGGTATTGGTACCTTCGACCCATGAGGTCAACGAATAGATCTCACACACGAGTTGTTGGTGCTGAAGTCTCTCCCACTAAATATATCCAGAACCAAACCCAAATTAGCAATTAAGGTAATAACCCACTTAACATGTCCAAAAATCAAGACTAGTCCCTAATGCAAAAGACCATTTTGACCTTCTAAGTCCTCAACCCCTCACAGTTACCCAAAGGTTAAACTGGTCAAAAAGTCAACGATCAATGCCCAGTTGACTTACGCCCTGCATAATCAATTTACGCCCTATGTAGATCTACGCCATGCGTACTTAGAGTACTCCCTGCGTAGCACGATGTTAAGCCATTTCCATTTTTAACTCTTAATCCATAAAGACCAACCATCTATTGCTCATATCTAGTCCTATTAAACGTCTAGAGTGATAAAGTTCCTAACTTTATGCCTTTGCATGTCTAAATAGAGCTCAAATCCAAACTCTAGTTTCCTAACACCTTCTAATGTCAAATCACTCTTGCATGGATGAAAGGTTGCAAGCAAGATCCCATTTTTATGACATTACAACCTTAGAAACATCAGAAAACAGCAACCCTAAGGTCTGGAGTAGCTCATACTCTCAAGATCCAAAATCATGGGACAATAAGCATGAAAACCATGAAGGTAATGAGATCTAACATATGGAACAACAAGATTCAAGCTTTATACATTCTGGAGTTGAGAAAAGCAATGTAGGCTCTGGATCCACAAGCTTGAGCTTCAACAATCAACAAACTTGGACTTCTATGAAGGGTTTTGAGCATTCTAACACTCCTATGGTGTACATGCAACCCTATAAACCTTGGATCTATGTTTTCTCTATTATACATGCAAATATTTAATATTCCAAGGTTTCATCCTAACTAGCACAATATAAAGTATATAAAATACAATAATCTAGTAGAATAACATATATTTTGATGGAGCTTGAAGTCTTGAACCTTTAAGAGCTTGGTGCCCCAAGTGTTGCACCTCAAATGGTTCACACAACACCAAAACCCTTTAGAATAACTTGAGAAGAAGAATACTTAGGTTCACTCTTATGAAATCGGATTTTCCCTCTTGTGTACTATACACCAGTCCTAATTTCATGAACTAGAGACCTCTTTATATGGTGTGGAGGATTAGGGTTACATTCATGTAAACCCTAATACCCATGACCTTTCATTTCCATAAGATTCATGGGTTAAAACTCCATGGACTATCCATGAAAGCTTAGCCCAACCTAAATGAACTTGGCTCATCCTATATATAAATAAGAGTCCATATTTAATTAGTTCCTTTTGATCAGTAAATTAATTCTAAATTAATTCTTGATCAATACTAATTAAATAATATGATTTCATATTAATATATTAGAACTTATAATATATTAATATAAATCATAAGTATCCTTTTTCTCATTTTGTCTATCCAATTGTTCCGATGCCATGCAACCCAAATGGACCATGCTACTCTCGGGTCGAATACATACCAATAATAGTTATGGGCTTAGACATCTAATCCAACATCCTCCCACTTGGATAAGTCTAAAACTATTATTGCGTATAACTCCAAGATCCCGACTAGCAATCGTAGCTCTTAAAGCCGTTGTCGAACTCTGACCCAGTCAATGACGTGTCCATTAGATAAGGGATCATATATTCCTCCATTCTAGATATCATATGGACTGAGACATGGATTATAATCATTCTCTCTGTCCATTTGTTGTTTCCCGATTTCCGATTTATGACGACTGACTAATTGAACAAATCAAATCAGTCCAGGCTTGGCCAAGCACTTTGGGGTGTCATCACTAAATCATCGAGGGGCCCACATATATCGCTTTTATCCCTCCAAGGGTAAAAGGAATGGATAAAATTTGACCCAAGTGTTCGCTTGTACTTACTCATCAAATTACACATAATGATATGTTTTATAACAACTAAGTTACTGGTTGCGTTTTCATATGTCAATGTGCAACTGACGCGCAACTACAACTCACACGTCTCAGTTTAAAGAATATAAGATATTATCGTCTCATGATTCACTCGTGATAAAAATCCATGAAGTGATTCAAATGAGCGTGGGTTGAGTCCAATACTCGAATCTCATTCCAGGAGCACTCATGAACACTGCAGCCACTTTGTCCCAGACAAACTACAGACCCTCCATGACAATCTTGCCTCAATACCTACTTCCAAAGTATGATCGACTGTGGATAGTTTGAATAACCTAGTTATTCGGGAAGTCAAAACATGTAAAGTGAAACACAAGAATAATCGAATCCAATATGGTCTCAGAACTTATGAATATAAATAAAACACCTTTTGTTTATCACCATATTGATTACACGTTATTCATTGCATAATGTTTCAAATAATCAACTTAATACTTGAATTAAAAACAATAGTTATGCCATGCTCCAAGCATGCACACTATGTTTGTCCAAACAATAGTTATGCTATACACCAAGTATGCACACTATGTTTGTCTATGATCCTTACTTTGTGGAATAGATCAATTGAACATAATTCCAATGATTCTCATTTCACAATCCCAAATCCTTATCGTAAGTGTAAGAATTCCAAATTCCTGCCATTTACCGAAATCTGTTGGATTCTAAACTCATATGAATTGATCCTCTTGTAATGACTATGCACAAAGTCACAGAGACTTGGCAATAGACATTACAAAGTACTCCAATGGAGATAAATTCCATGGAAACGAAGTCTGAAATTCAAAGTACATTCCTTTGAACATCCTTCTTGCATTAAGTTTTTCTAATCCTACACAGATTGAATAACTTCCACCTATGGAGACGTTTCCATATTCCCATTTTGACTCTCACTTATGAACAAGAGTTGCCTCTTTTTCAGAATATGTCAATATGGTCCTTTCCAAACATTTACATCATACTTCCAACTGTCCATGAGCAACCAATCTTTGGTAAAACCTCAGATTGTCCTCAACAATTGCTTAATCATTTTAGTCATATCCAATTCTATACCTTTCACTACTAGAAAACAGACCTTTAATGACACGCTTTTTACGACACGCACTGATTAATGATACGCAAAAGGGCGTGCCCTAAAAATAATGTCAGATCTTTAGAAATTTGAAGAATTTAGGACGCGCATTTTTGCGTGCCCTAAAATTATTGTCCCACAAAAAAAAAATACAAACACGGAGGGCGCTTATTTAAAATGTGCGTCCTCTATGAGTGTCGCTTTATAATTTTTCACTCAAAACGCGCGTTCAAGGGGAAATCAAATCCTCTTAAAATTCTAAATTTTTTAAATACCCCATTTCAAGATCTCCCTTCATTCTCTTCTTCCCTTCTCTCTACAAACCCTAATCACAGATACCATATCTTCTTGCTTCGGTTGTTATAGTTGCACAGATGGTGGTTGTAGTGGTTGTCATGGTGCTCGTTTACCATCTTATGACAAACAATCTTCTAGAATAGCAAGTTGTCGACCACGGTCAGCCCACGGGGGCAGTAGGGCCATGGCCCAGGGCATCATTGATCTTGGGGGCATCAAGTTTTCGAGAGCTTTTATGGTATGTATAGTTTAATTGGACCAAAATTAATCGTATATTAATTTTTTTAGCCCATGGCAGTGGAGCTGAACACGAACACAGAGGAAATTACAACATCTCACACCTAAATCGAAGCAATCGAACAAATTTCAGTCCTCTATCTTACATTGAAAATTGTTTCCCCTCCCATTGCCGACCCATTTGGAGCGATTTCTAGGGCTTGAATCAACATTTACCCATGTCGACACTCCATCTAATGCCCTCATCGCCTTTTTTTTTCTTTTTGTCGAGGGAGTGATTCTAATCAGGTATATGCTATTGCATGTTTAGATTTCTGTAATTGCAATCCTCTCCTCCCATCAATATGATAATAAATGAAGATGAATAAGTTAAAATTTTGTTTTCTTTTTTGGTCCCAATTTCTTTTTCTCTCACCCCTTCCATTCCATGGGCAGAGGTCAGCGGGTCGTCGAGCCTGGTTTTCAATCGCATGCCATAATTCCTGGAGGTGCTGGAGTTCAAGCCTTGACAAAAGAACCCTTAGACCTTACTCCGATTTTCCAAACTTAGTTGTTATGTAAGTTAATGACTTCTTGACCGATTTTCCAAACAGTATTGTTCGATGATTTTACTCTGAGAAAGTTTTTTAGCTATGATTGCTTTGTTTTAATGGATCTTACAAAAGGGGTCTTGAATTTGTGATTTTATAAGATCAAGTGCTCAAATTCACTTTTTCTTTTCTTCACATTGACAGTGATCCGGCTACAGAAAGAATCCATGATGCTAAGAGCGTCATTTTCACTGCTCAACTACCTCTAAAAAAGGTGAGAAATTTTCTTCACTTTTAAAGACTTTCGGTCATTACAAAAGCCAAAATGAACCAGCAAAGAACAAGAAGATTTAGAAATTCCAAAGACCACGAGACACTTGTACGTTTTTCTCCTACAGTACATGCTTCTTCATACACATTTAATCCAAACATTCTAGTAGAAAGCTGTAGAAATGATTTTCTTCCGCCTATGCCAACCTTGGAAATTCCTGAGGTTTGAATGCCTTTTCATTTAGCTATTTTGTTTCAAGAAAATTTTGATGATGACCAAATACAAAGATGAAAAATTGCTAGAGTTTACCAAAAAAGTGTATCGAAAGTCCAAATTCTGAATTTTTATCATTCTTGATCAGAGTGCAATTAATCTATTGATTTATGTGTACAAGCACGAGTTTAAGAAACTTGGAGGGTATCTTGTGAATATGGAAAAGGTAGCTAATGATGTAATGTAATAAATTTAGTCTCTTTCATGACCCTAGAAGAGTCTGTTTTTGATATATACAACTCATTCTTTGCGATTGTATATAATATTGATTTCTATGATCTTGAATTTTTGAAAAATGGAAACTAGTTAGTGATGAAAAAGGAGGTTAACAGAGAAGACGATTTGTTTCCACAAGAGAAAACTTCGATACATGTTGTCAGATGTCAGGGATAAGGTTCTTTATCTTTTAATTTCTTACAAATTCATAAAGTTTTATAATAGCTGTCACAAACATATTTTTACAAGAAATCATTCATATAGAGTGGTAACAGAGAAGACAATTTGTTTCCTGTGAGTAGAAGTGCTCACAATCAGAAGGGCTCGTCTGTTGGTTCTGATGTTGGGTCACCATACACCGAAAAATCACCTGATCGTCATGTGCAAGTACGATATATTACTATCCTTCGCTATCAATTTTGTATCTTTTCAAATCATATACTTACTCAATATGAAATGTCTTTTTCTTGTTTTCTCAGATGGCCGAGAATACAAAAGCATTGAAGGAGAAATTAATATCTTACATGCATGAGATATCGGATAATTTCAGAAACGGTCTTCTTTCAGACATGGTAGCTAGGGATCGTTCTTGTGAGCATTCCTTCTTTTCAGGCTGTAGATTATCACAACTAAGCAACAATTAAACTAAATTTTGTCAGGTGAAACTAGGTATGTTCTTAAATTTCTTTTTTAGAAACATGGTTACATTGGTTGATCTGGTTTTGTTCATGATCTTATCTAATTTGTGCTCATGTAGTGCCCATGCACTTCCACCTTCATATCGGTCACTCATGACAACTGATGATTCGAGGATTCTTGATTTCTATCCTGATGGTATGTCCCATTCTAAGTTGTGTGACAGATAAATTTTGTTTCTTAATATCTCTATGAACACTATTGATTATATACATATGCTGTCGTTTATACTCATATTTTGATATCGACACGGATGGGAAAAGATTTCTTTGGCAGGTTAGGGGATATGATTATTGTTCCAAACGCCTATGGATCCTTCAACAACCATGTTTAATATGCCTATACTTTTCTTACGTATTAAAAATATCTATTTTGTAGGGTATCTGCAAGCTTCCTTTTATTGATGAGGAGCGCCTTCTTGCTTCAATAAAAATGATTGAGAAGGAACTGACTGTATGTAAGGCTGAATTGTATACAAAACCTTCACACGTTTGACAAGGACTCTAATTAACATGATCTTTTATCTTCAGGAGGAAGAAGCTAAAAGAAATGTTGAGAATGCCGACAAGTTGTTCCTACACATTTTAGAAAATCTTGCCTTGCAGATTATCACTTCATTCAACAATGAAGGCTCCATCGAGCAAAAGACAGGCTTAAGGTTGCGTTCTCCATTATTATAATGCGGTGATTATTCTTTTCCCTAATGTATATATTTTCTTCTCTTGTTTCAGTTTCAGTGGACAACTAATATCATATGTTTGTTGGGGTTACATTCAGCAAAACTTGCACATTTATGTAATATAAAATTCTCTTTTTGTTACAGTCAGCAGTCATGATCAGCTGCAAGTCACAAGTGGATAAGCTGAAAATTGTAAAAGACCACCGGAATTTACTTGTGGAAGCCATGTTTTACTATGTGATGAATCAAAGATTCTTTAAAATGTCACGCAAAAAGGACCCACCTTACTTTTCACGCTCAGTTGCTGCACACGTGGTTGTTCAACCAATTAAGGTGTATATAATGATAGGGTTCGGATCCATGGGTCATGTTATTGGTGGTGCAGTAGGAGGTAGGCTGATCGCATCCACCCTGGTCCAGGTATATTTTCCACACACACACACCTTCAAGTTTCATAAAAATTATAAACCTTGCAAATGGTGCGAAAAACAAGTAATGTATCACGTTCTACAATGCTTAGGCTCTCGGGATCAACCCCACTTAAAGAATATAAAATTCAAAGGATAAATTAGTAAATTACTAATTGATATGTTATAATTGTAACCAAAATATATAAAAGTTTTCATCATATATATATATATATATATATATATATATATATATATATATATGTATATATATATACCTAGTATTTCCATCATCTTCAAGTTGCACAACCTTGTCAAGAGCTGCCTCCAATCCCTGTAAAACAAAAAAGTCAATGATGGGGTTAATATTGCTAATGATGGATAAAATTATTCTATATCTATATGATCTCTCTTTTTTCTTGAATATAATCTCATTGGTGTGCTTTCCCTTCACTTGCTTGGAGTAAAATGGGTGGTATGATATTCTTGAAAATTTCATCTTTCCAACATTTAGAGAAGATAATAGATGTTCATGTGCTAATTTGAATTTTTAAATTTCGAATTGGGCTAATAAATATTAAATTGTTTGTTTTGATTGTGCTCGGTCCATGAAATCAGATATTGTAACACTAAAAAATTAAAAGTACTTTTAACTTTTTAGTGTTACAACATCTGATGTTTTTGATTCTACTGATAAATGAAATTTGTTATATGTAGGGTGATGGAACACTACTTGCAACAGACTCTTATGATGGGCAAGCCAGAATATGGAGTAAAGATGGTAAATTTAATGAAACTACTTTTTTGCATTTTCAATATGGGTTTTTTAAAATTAAATTAAGTTAGGTTTATTTATTTATTTAGGGGAGGTGGTGAGTACATTAACAAAACATAAGGGGCCAATATTCTCTTTAAAATGGAACAAAAAAAATTAATATAAAACAGGAAATATTGATAGTGAATGGAGAGTATCCAGCATATCAACTACCAACAACACTTACAAATTATCATTTACCTGTAATTTTCAGTTTATATTTTCAACTACAATCGATGGTAAGATTAAGGCATGGCTGTATGACAACATGGGATCTAGAGTTGACTATTCTGCCCCTAGTCATGGCTGCACCACTATGCCATACAATGTTGATGGGAGTCGGTAATATATTTTCTTTAATACATTTTTTAAGAATATAATCCAAATTATTCTCCAACAAAAATGACTATTTTTGGGTCCAAAGTGGCAAAAATCAGCTATACTCAAGGACCAAAACCTTTACAAGAACCTCAAAATAAGGACCAAAATTGAAACACAAATTTTATTACAAGGGTAAACATGTCATTTTCTAATCCAACTTTTTTCCTTTATGTAAACGTAATAATATATTTTGCCTTCCCTAAAACAAACCTCAACAAGATGAAGATTGGAAGCACGACTGAGGACAAACGCAAACTCACAATTGTCTTGTCTCATGCTTTTCTCAAAAGCTTATTTAATGCTCACAACCTGTTGAAGGAAATAGCAATGTACTATGTTAATCAATTTTTATAGCATGCCCACAACGTGTTCAAAGTGGAATTCCTTTAAAAAAATCTTGATGTCTGGACCTTAAATAAAAAAATCGAGAAGAAACTAGCTAAGATGTTGACTGTAGATTTACTTGGTGCATAGTGATTGTTAATTATATATTCCTTAAATTGTTAATCAATTTTTATACAGGTATGGGCTGTATTGAAGCTTGGATTCTTGGAAAAAGGTATGTTACTACATGTGTATTAAATTTTAATATTTTATAACATAGATTAATGATGCTTGAAGCCTTTCTGAATACTAATGTGTTGATGATGAAAACATGTATGATGTGGAAACAGAAGCATAAGAATAAGAAGTAGAAACAAGAAGGTGTTCCTTAATAGCAATGTAGTATTAGGTTATATAGTTAGGGAAAACCTCTTAATAACAATGTACAATCGGATCCCCTTAATACCAATGTATTACAATTTTTTGACATGATGTTATGGATGAAGTTGATTGTTTTGGTATATATTTGTTTCCATATTTTTGTATTATGCGTAATTGAGTATCGTAAAGACGCGTCGTAAATGTATATCGTAAATGGTTGCTGAAGTTTATGACACGCAAATGCGTGTCATCTTCATTTATGACAGGGGCTTTAATGAAACGCAATGCGTGTCCTAAACGTGCGTCGTGAGGTTACGACACACAAATGCGTGTCATCTTCCTTTATGACAGGGGCTTCCTTGATACACATTGCGCGTCGTAAATGCGTGTCATAAATGCGCGTCGTAAATACGCGTCGTCTATAGACGACGCGCAAAAGCGTGTCGTCTCTCGTTATGACAGGGCCTTCCTTGACACGTATTTGCGCGTCGTCTGAGCGTTTTACGACACACATTGCGCGTCGTAAAAGGCTGTTTTCCTAGTAGTGTTTTACCCTCTTAATGCCCTAGGCATTTGGAAAATTTAGAAAGGATAAATATTATAGCACATGTAATCAATCCTATATCCAAAGCATATGGGACACGATTCATGATGTCTCACATAAAGACATGATCCTAGATCAGTCTTTTGCTATAATATTTTTTTTTATTTGCCATGTTTTCATAATTCGACTATGAAGAGAGATGCCGTAATAATAATCGAATTTTGAGAACGCAATATATATAGAATCTCCAGAATTTCCTCATGTTGAACCATTCAAACATAAAATTCATATATATATATATATATATATATATATATATATATATCCTTGACTAAACATGATTAAAATCTCAATCTAAGCTTTTAGAATTAAAATGAAGTATAATATCCTGTCCCTTAATTATAGCAAAACAACTTTTCAACCCCCACAACTTCACGAATTGAAACCCTTTTTGCTTTCTATAATTAACATTGCTAACTTGCAATACTAAACATAATAATCATGCTCCCACTAACATGATAATTATTAGCATAACACTTATGCTCCCACTAGCTTTGACATGTATCAGCTGGACTTCTAGAAATCATTACTTTATTGACTTTCTTACCAAAGTTCAGATTTCTGATACGAGATGCTTTGATAAGACTTTATTAAAATCATACACCTTTTCTTAGATAGATCACATGTGTGTCTAAACAATTTTTAGAACTATGAAAAAGGATGCCGTAATCATAGTCTCAATTGTTTAGACCTTTGCCATTTCTCACAAGTCTATGTTAGTGTGCCGGTTACCCATACACGCTCCACTAACGACTTTGAGAATGCAAATATCACAATTGCTATCTACTTAAAATCTACTTAGTGAAAACGTTTCCTCACCATCATTTTCATGAATCATAGAGAAACCTTATGACACTTAGACTTTATGGTGCATGTGTTCCTATCCATGTGAATTTGTCAAAACCATAATCATAAGACAAGGTTAGCGACAAATCCAAACTCATATGGACTAAACTTGTGCAATCTTAACTTCTTGCCACCTAGCAGCACAAGGGCCTGCCATTGCTTCCAAGTAGTTATGCAAACAACTGAGAACTTGTAGAACTCAGATGCATAGTCAACTTTAACTGGAATGGGCAGAGAAATGTAAACACGATAGGTTACAAACCTCAAGTCGTGCGCTAGTGATAAACTACAGGTTTTATTCTTGATCAGTTCTTGAAACTCCTTTAGGATCTTCTAGACTCCCACTCTTTCAGTTTTTTTTTTTTTTTTTTTTTTTTAAAGCTTCCTTCCCTTTGCTTAATCCTGCAAAACATCAAAATGCAACCTAGTCACATCATGTATTAAGAATCAACAATTAGGAACTTAACAGAGTTAGATAGCGGACTTACCTGAAGCAGAGTCAAACTTTTTGATTCTTCCTTCTCTCAGATCTTTCAGGTAGTTAGAGCAGCTTCGCAACCAATTTCCCTTCTCTTGACAATAAAAACATATAGACTCTTTGGGAATGGTACACGGGACTATCACAGACTTAGCCTTTCCCTTTACCTTTTGGTCAACTAGGTTGACCATGGCCGATCCCTTTCCATTGGGAAGAGAAAGCTTTTCTGGACTTCCAATGCTACCATTGTCAATGTCCATGGAAATTTTGAGAAATAGACCTTCCACCCAAATTTACTTTTGCAGTGCGCCAAAACATTTCTGATTCAGCAGCAACAAGCAAATAAGAAAGATCAATAAGGGTCATGTCGTGATCTGTCACATAGTAGTCCTTAATGAACTCACTATACGACTCAGGAAGTGACTGAAGAACCCAGTCAATAGCTAACTTCCTTGGGATATCGACACCCAACATTCTCAACCTGTCAATGTGTGACTTCATCTCTAAGACATGAGTACACACATGTCTTCCATCTTTATGTTTCATTGCAAGTAGGGCTTGAGTGATCTTGAATTTTTCAAGTCTTCGAGCTTGAGGGTCAGGGAGAATAATTGGAGGAGGTGGAGGAAGAAAAGTATGATTTCCATGATCCAATCGTGGGACATCATCTTCATTAGGGAAGCTTGTTCCAAGAGATTTGGGAAGATCATAGTTGTCTGAACCAGACATCTACAATGGCAGAAATTCAAGTTAGTTGATTTAAGTCCTTAATAGAACACCCAATATGACATATTAAGGCTAGGACCCAACACAATATTATATAACTTGGAAGAGGGATGCCGTAATCCAAGTTATGAAATATTTGAAGGTAGGCGAATGACGATTTACCAATTTTCACCATTAAAAAACGAAATAAATTATTAGGTTTTAATTGGATTGAAACTCCTAGATCTTTTGAGATTCATTGAACTTTTCAATGGCATTTTTAAATCTCGATTTTGCCCTCTCAAGTTTGTGACTGGGATGCCGAGGATTACAAACAAGGTGTGAATAACCATGCAAATTAACTTGGTACCCTTAATCTTTATCACCTAATCGATATGCCGGTTACCCACACGCGCTGATAAACATTAAGTCACCCTTTGCCACTCTTACTATTCCATGTTAGTGTGTCGGTTACCCACACACGCTCCACCAACGACTTGGCAAGGTACAAATTATCATTTTCCTAAAGTAACTAAGATTGAGAATTTTTAAAAGGTTTAGTTACTTTATATTTATCATTATACTTATAATGAGAATTATAGTCCTTGTCCTACCGGTTCGGCTAACGACCCTCCACCAGTCAAGGAAGCGGTGGGTGAGAGTGGACACCCATTTAGCTGCCATTTTATAGGCAACAACCTTATACCCCCCTTATAGACCGGCTTCGTGAATGAGGCTTACTAACGGTAAGACTGACTTGCTCTTATACACACACACATATATATATATATATATATATATATATATATATATATATATTAACTTATAATACTATAAAGTACAAGGGTTGAATTTTAACTTTTAAAACTCGAGGATTTGGAATTAAAGTGTGTATGAGACTTTACAAATACCAAAACTTGGGGGCAAGTTTTGAACAATTCAAAAAACTTTTGGATTTTCATAACTTATGAGTTTAATTAAGGTTTTAAAAACTTTAATGAAGAGACTCTTGAACATCCATAACTTGAGGACAAGTTATGGAGTTCATAAAACTATTTATGAGAAAGACTCTTCAATTATGTAACCTATGACTCTTTAATGACTCTTTAAAAGAAATGACTTTTGGTAATCCATAACTTGAGGACAAATTATGGACTCATTAAAAACATTTAGATCAAGAATTAACTAACAAACAATTTGCGAATAATTCCTATGATCTACCAAAACTCATAAGTGTATAAACAATCATATCAACAATTTCAAGAATTATATAAACACATATAAATCTTGAAATTTTGATAACAACCTTTAAAACTGGATTAACATAATCATTACCACATCAAAAATAGGTTTTAAAGTTCAAAAAACAGTTTAGGGTAATGATCCTCATCCAATACCAAGCAAAACCCCGAAATTCTGCATACAGGGGCATCACCACGTCGTGGTAAAGACTGCCACGTCGTGGTGAGCAGTCAGATGCAAAAAAAAATGCAGAATCTCAACTTTGGAAAAACATGTAGCATCAAGTATAAAGAAAACAAGTCTAGGCTCTGATACCACTGAAGGGTTTTGAGCATTCTAACACTCTTATGGTGTACATGCAACCCTATAAACCTTGGATCTATGT